GGATGGATAAATTTGAATTGAAATTGAATAATTCAGCAATATTTAAACGAATAAATATCGGTATTACCGCCTACAGTCCAAAAAGAGGAAAAAAAAATCCCGAACTAAAAAAATTTTTATCAACTGAATTAAAAAGCAATGCTGAAGTTATGCTTTTAATACAAGAAGCAATATATGGACCAATATTTGAAAGACTCATGCCGATGTCATATGCAAATCATGTAACCAAAGCGGCTTTAAACCTTTCAAAAAAATTAAAACCGTATATTGGAATTCATTGGCGTATGGAACGTGGTCAAATAGAACTTATGCCAAAATGTGCTGAAAATCTTGTGACTTATATAAGAAATCTTTCATTAACGACTAGAATTGAAACCATTTATTTAGCTACGGATTATCCACTTGCTAATAATGGAAATAATAAAGCACAATCACGTACATTTAAGAACATAGGTGAAAGTCATCATACAGCAATGAAAATTTTACATTCTTCATTTAATGTAAACACTTGGGTATCAACACGCGCCTTAGATTATCTTCAATTGTATCCTATAGAAGGTGAACATTTAAAAGAGGAACTGAGCGGTGGTGGTATTCAAGGAATTTTTGATAAATTGATTTTGCTAAATGCTGATTATTTTATAGCCGGTCCTGAAGGATGTTGTAGACTTAGAAGTACCTTTACATTTGATGTTGAGGAAAGAAGACAGGAATTGTTTAAAAACAATGAAACAATTAAAAACATTATTGACCGTTGGATTCTGTAATATAAAACAATAATATGTAATTTATGCCAATAAAATTTTTTCATGTGAATTATAACAAGATTTAACATACATTTGGAGAGTTACATAGCGATAGTAAATTGCGTTTAGAAATTATATCTGATACTTATTTTATGGCGTAGTATTTGCGTTTGGAGTATAAATAGATATCATCTGTTAGGCAAACTCTCACGACTTGCTTCGTAGGACATAGTTCAAGCCTAAAGAAACCATTTTTATAGTTATTCGATTTTTAGCTGAGCGAGTGACTGATCTAAATTCAGGGATTTCCAGTTCCTGCCCGCGATAACAATGATAAATCTCGACTTTAGTCTATTGGTATCCCCTACAAAATTTTAATTAATCAGAAATCCGATCATCGTTTTTTCGCAAAATATAGTGGAATTGATTTTTTTAAATCCTATGAATTATTACCATTGTTAAATCAATGGTAATATACATTATTCCACGGGTCTTATGTAACAACCTGTGCTTTTTCATCTTGGTTATTGCACAGGATTGTACGTCAAACACCGTGAAATAATAAAGTTATTGTATGGGTATATGAATAACCGTGACCTTCGTCCACGGTTATTCACTACATACCCATACAATAACAATCATGAATTGCGATAAATGATTGCGATAAATTATTTTCGTCAATTCTATGAATTCTAGATAATATCATTGTTTTAACAACGGCAGTATTCAGAATTCATAGAATTCAAAAATATAACTTTGTAAAAGCGATAAAAATCTAAAGAAAAAAAATATAACGATAAATAAAGATATTGAAGTCCTCTAAAATACAAAAAAGAATTCATATGCCTGAACAAAGTGTTGTAAGAAGTAATTGTTGATCTTACTGGGGTAGCTAGTTCAATGGTTAAGTCTATAGCGTCGCAATTCTTTAGGAAAAAAAAAACAACTGTTGATTTATCAGAAAAACATTCAAATAATAGTACTGTACATATGTAATATTACAAAGACTAATTTTACGATCGTTTGATGAATCTATATTGAATATACGATTTTCTCCTGTGCTCCACACAAAATTCACTCACTTGAAGAATGTGCTGAAAGAATAGCTCAGTTAGAAACTTGGTCAAATATTATCTTATGTTTTTTGTCATAGATTTCTTATTTCCCTGTGTACCTACTGCTTAACATACTTCTATTCAAACTTTTTATTAAATGAATTATAATTACTCGATATGGAGAATGCCTTAATTCATCACGACCCAGCACATGTCCATAGCCCAAATCACGAGATAATATGTAACATAGGGTTGGGAATTTTGTGTAAATTTTAAATTTTGATGTAAGTTACATGTAGGTTATATCTAAAATCACTATGTGTATCTTATTGTAAGCTTGCAAAACATGTAAGTTACATGTAAGTTAAAATGGAACATACAAAATTTGCCCAACCCTAATGTAACACCATCCTGTTCTATAACCATAGTAAAAAATATTAATTTTACACAAAAAATATCCTCGCATAACTGTCTGTCTGAATAATATTTCTTGTAAAGTATTAGTGTACGTAATAATCAGCCACAGTGATTTGCACCAATTAAAGCGTAATTCATATTACTTACGTTCTTTCGAATGAAAATTTCCATCTTATACTTCTCCAACCATCCTGTACTTTATAATTTTCTATTTTTTGGTTTTTTTTTTTTAATTTATAAATTATGTATATGGCAAATGTAATTATCACTGTAAATATAAATAGAATATACATACATTACTGTAGTTAAAACTTGTAAATTTTTGATTTGTAAAAAAGTGAACACCTTTCGGTAGTTAAATTAGGAAGCACAGATAAAAAAATCAATTATTAACTAAATAGTAACCAGTAATTTCTGGTACATATTATAACTTATTTCCTCTTATTTACTATATATTCACTAGATAATATATGCATTTAAACATATTAACTAAAAATATATAAATTACACAAATTATTTAGTAAATATATAGTAAATAAGTTATAATTTGCACCAGAAATTACTAGTTATTATTTAGTTAATAATTGATTTTTTTACCAGTGAAGAGTACTAGAAAATAAGAATTTACTTTTTAAACAAAAGAATAGAAATAAGGTAAAAGTAATTTTTAAACATCTTTGAAAAATTTTACTTCCCTTTTATTGGAATTAGAACCGTATTTGCAAGTAATAAATTCCCATTTTATTGAAAATTGTCTTTTTTGATTCGAAGTGCGTCCTAAAATAATGCGTTTTTTTAAATATGTATATCATACCTCAGATTTAGAGAAGTTAAATGGTTCAAAAAAGCTCAAAGTAGTCTTTGTGTATTACTAATTTTGTAACTGATTAAATTTTTATAAACTATTAATTAAAATTATTTAAAATAGAAAAAAACTTTGAGTTTCTTATTATAAAAGCTTTTGTAAAATTTAAATTTTTTAAATTTGTGTAGATTTGAACTAATCTTGCTAAGATTAAGTTTAAAACTACATAAATCTAAAAATTTTAAGCTTTACAAAAGGTTTGCTAGTTTTTTTATAATAAGAAACTCAAATATTTTAAACAATTTTAATTAATAGTTTATAAAAATTTAATCGGTTGCAAAATTAATAATGCACAAAAGCTATTTTGAGCTTTTTCGAACCACTTAACCTCCTTACTCAAATTATATTCTAAGGTGGTTTTGACATTATGCGTCATGCTGAAATACGCATAATAACTGTCACGTTAATGTCGTACTTCAGATTAGAGTAGGCGTAAAATTAAAATTTTATTCTGAGGTGCGTCAGAGTGGTTTTGCATTTATGCGTCATACTGAAATACGCATAATAAATGTCATGATATTATTAATAAAATAATAAAAATTGGTTCGTTTAAAATTTCTGTATATGTATACCATTCCTTATTTTATTTGAACTAAATACTATGGAGTATTCATTTATTACACGTAAAACTTTCGGTAGCTATTTTAGCAATTCGTTATATGAAATGTATTTAATTCTTTATATTTGTTAGATTGATTCTTCTTCACAACATTCTTCGTTATATATCTTAAACCCGTTGCAAAATTTAACGACCAAAAAATAACAGGACATCATGTATTACAGTATAAAGAGTAGTAAAAGCCTATACAGCTAGGATTATCTCTGCAATGATAATACATTAGTATGCAAAATCTGAGACGTTGTAATGGGAAGATCGTCACCGAGATAGCTCAGGATAAACTGTTTGATTCAGATAGAAATCTGCCAAATCTGCCAGATATGATAGAAATGGCAGATTTAGCAGGTATGGCAGGAAGGGTGGATATAGTAGATAAAGACTATATGTTAGAATAACTCTTTTACCGTATTTCGCGAAATAACGCCCACCTGTGCGTCATTTTGAGTATATGCGCGTTATTTAGAGTACACACATGTGCGTTATTTTGAGACAACAATAAAATTTCACCCAAACGCAAACTATATCCAACTATTAGTTGGAACCTTATATAGTATGCCCGTTATTTTGGGACGCGCATGGGCGTTATTTTTAAACCATGCATGCTATTTTTAGGGGCACAATTTCCAAATAACGCCCATGCCCATTATTTTGCGAAAATACAGTATAAAGAAAAATGTATATAAAGATCCGATGACCAAGTTCAATAATAGTAGTTCTCTAAAATTCATTTGATAAAATCATTATCTTATTTTGTTGTGTATCATTATCCTTCCCTAAAAATATTGTAAAAGCTCAATTCTTGCTTCGTAAAAAAAAAAAAAAAAAAAGAGAAAACTAGCAATTAATAATTAGATCCTATTTTATATTAACTTCACAATTGATAAAATCTTGATCAATTTTGTTTTAATTTTACTTTTTCATTGATCAATCGAAACTATTGTAATAATTACTCCAATAGCACCATCAAAAATTTTTGGTTACCCAAATTTTTGACAAATAGAATTAGATACTACATAAATTTTTTAAACAACAACGGCAGGGTGAAGTCGAAAATTTCCGGAAATCACATGTGTGATCATCATTTTGTGTAACAGTATGTATAATCAATCTTCTTGTATTACCAGACACACGATTTGTCATACAGATCATGTGTGTAAAATTTTTAATTATAAGTCAAATGATTGACACACCTAAATTTCATATATAAAATTTATATAAATTTTGCTTTCTTGACTTAGCTAGAAAGAAGCTGTTGGTTTAATTTCTAAATCTGAGTCTGCAAATTCTCTAGTATTTAGAGGTTCTTTTTATAAAATTTTAAAGTAGTTTTATAATAAAATTGAGAAAAATCATGGCTATGAAGTTAGCCAATTTTTTAATGATTTTACTAAGTAGTATGTATCATTTCACCAAAATTGTAATTAGATCCATCAATTTAGTTGATGGTTCAAATTACTTATTTTGGTAAAATAATATGCACTAATTATAAACAATCAATAAAAATCATTAAAAAATTAGTAACTTCATAGCCATGATTCTTCTTAATTTTATTATAAAACATCTTTAAAATTTTCCAAGAAGAATTTTTATATATGACTAATATATATCTATATAACTACCTAATTGTAGAATAAATTAAAAAGTTTATCAAAAGAAATTGTGCTAATTTTTAGAAAAATTTAAGCAAGAATATCTTTATAGTCATCTAATCAATTTCCAAGAAACTTTCTTTGTTTGAATTTTATAAATTTACAGAATTCAAATAAAAGAAATTATATCAAATCTAATTAGATAGTTATAAAGATATCTTTACTTAAAGTTAAAGAAAAATCAAACTAGCTATCAAAAATAGAAGTTGTACCAATTTTTAGAAAAATTTGAACAAAAATATCTCTTTCACTATCTAACCAATTTTTAAAAACTTTTTTTATTTGAATTCTATGAATTCACAAATTTAAATAAAAGAAATCTCATCAAATCTTATTAGAAGTTTATAGAGATATTTTTGCTTAAAGTTAGAGAAAATCAAACCAGTTATTAAAAATAGAAACTACCAATTTTTAAA